TTAAATTCTAACAATAATTAAGTGACAAACTTAAAATATTTTGTTTACTTAAGTAATTTAATTCTTAAATTTTTTATTTATAAGTTTTCTTATTTATTATTTATATATATATTATAATATAATTATCAGTTTATAATTTAATTTATTTAAAATTTATAAATAAATTAAAATTATAAAAATTATAAAAAAATTGTGTTGGATTTATGTAAATTTACTTGAAACCAACAAAATTCGAAAGAAATAGAATGAGTTTTAAGTATATAAACTTATCTATTTAAAATTTAATCCGAACTTGTCTCAACTTTTAATGAGACAAGGATAGAGATAGCATAATTCATTTTCAACCCATCTCATTTAGGGATGGCAACGAGGCGGGGCGGGTACGGGTTTTATGATACCTGTCCCCGTCCCTGCGAGTCAAACCAATCATCGTTCCCGTATCCGTACTCGTCGGGTATATAATTTTCATTCTCATCCTCGTCCCCGTTTGGTATCGGGTATACCCGTACCTGTACCCGTCAATTTTTTTTTATCTTTTATTTTTTTGTAAAAAGATAATATTTTAAAATTATTTTTCTATTATATTATAATTATAATTAGGTTATTTCTCTATCTCATATTATAATAAATAATCACACATAAAAAAATATTAAAATTCTTTAATATAATTAAATTGAAAGTGGGTATTAAATTAAAAATAGGAACGGGGACTGGTACGGGTACGGGTACGGGTATGGGACGGTTAAGTATACATACCCGTACCCGTACCCGTACCTGATTTAATATATCGGGTTTTACCCATACCCGTACCTGTACTCGGTCAAACCAGGTATTTCCCGTCAAAGTTGGAACAGGTTCGGGTATTACCCGCGGGTACGGATATATTTGTCATCCTTAATCTCATTGTCATCTCTAAACATCATGCAAGTGAGTTCAGTGCAATAAATATGTAAGAATGATGTAACACCCATTTAAAGTATGACTTATAATTATCTATTTATTAAAATGAATCAAAGAAATGAAAAAGAAAATTATTACACAACCTTTAATAGCCAAAGTAATTAAAGATACACAGAGGATAAGTTTATTTATTTCTCATAAATATAATTACAAGTCATATTTACTAGCATTTTTATTAACTACTCACAAAAGAAGAAATTTTTTTTTTCTTATTTAATTACTAATTCACAAACCCCCTTCATATTTATTATGTTATTTTTACAATAATAAATATTATATATTATATAGTGGGTTGACGTGATTTGTTGGAGGAAGAGTAAAGGTGATGGCTATAGGACTATTGAGGAAGATTGGTGAAAACTTGTTTGGTAGCATTATTGTTGAGGAACCTTGTCCATGGAAGGTGACTGTATTACTTTATATATCAATTGTCCATTGCATACTTGGAAAAATGACATGTACCAATGCAGTGAAAGATCCAACATTGGATGAATCCATCTATATATCAATTTATAATATGTTTTTAAAAAAAACAAAAAAAAATCAAAAAGACAAAAATATACAAAAGGAGTGAGAATAGCAATCATATAAATCAAATAGATAATTAAGTAACTAAAATATAATCATAAATATATGCTTCTTTATATAATATATATATATATATATACATAATTACTATTTATTTATGATTATTATTATTGTTATTTTATTTTTATCTATTTATTTTTACTCCTACTCCATGGAGATTGACATTGCGGAGAATCATAATTTGTGGAAGCCAATCAAGCTGTCAAAGAAAGGGCCACCATTATCCTATCTGGCATTTGCAGATGACTTAATCTTGTTCTCAGAAGAAACTCTGGATCAAGCAGAAATAATTAATACATGCATGGATTTATTTTGCAAGAGCTCAGGAATGAAGGTAAGCCAGGAAAAAACAAGAGTCTTTTTCTCAAAAAATGTGGGGTGGAGAGTTAAGAATGAGGTTAGCTCTTTCTTATGTTATCAACGCACTGATAACTTGGGAAAATACCTTGGAGTTCAATTACACCATGACCGAGTCAGCAAACGGAAGCTTCAATCTGTGATGGATCATATTAATAGAAGATTAAGTAATTGGAAATCTAAGAACCTTTCCTTTGCAGGCACCTTACCTTAACTAGATCGGTTCTTGCTTCCTTACTGTCATATACAATGCAAATAGTCTCTTTTCCTAAACAGCTCTGTCATGATATTGACAAAGCTTGTCGATCCTTTGTGTGGGGAGATTCAAACAATAATTGTCATATTCATGCCCTTGCTTGGGAGACAATTTGCAAACCTAAGGATGTAGGCGACTTAGGTCTATGGAAGGTAAACACTTGTTTTATGATGAAGAATGGTTGGGCTCTTTGTTCCCAACCAAACAAGTTATGGGTTCATGTGGTGATGAGGTGATTCCAACAATCAAAACGCGAGCTGTTACTTCTAATTTCTGGCGAGGTATCTGTAATATGCTTGGGGGAGGTGAAACCCTTATTAGCGTGGAATATAGGGAATGGTAAGTATACAAAGTTCTGGTTGGATCGTTGGCTTCCTTCCAACATTGTGCTGTGTAAAGTGTTTGTACAACAGGTGCCTGGGGAGCTAATGTGCAAAATAGTAGTAGAATATATTGGAGAAGATGGTAATTGGAACCTGGATGCTATTCGTGAGCTCCTTCCTGACCAGTATTAGAAAGAATTAATGGGTTCAGCACCTCCCTCTATGGAAAATGATGATGACCGTTTGGTGTGGGGAGGGTCAAATGATGGTTGTTTTACCATCAAATCTGAGTATGAAAAGTTAAGACGTCCTTCAAGTTTACAAACCAGAGCTTTATTTTCGATGATCTGGAAGTGGCCTGGTCTAGAACGAATCCGCTGTTTGGTATGGAGAATTGTGCACTATAGCCTCCCCACAAATGCATGGCAATACTCACGGTTTATGACCTCAGAAGCAATATGTTTGTGCTGCCATGAAGAGAGAGAAACTAGTTTGCATGCCTTACGTGATTGTGCATGGGCAAAAGCAGTTTGGCAAGCTGTGATGGGAAAAATCACGATTTAGAACTTTTTTATCTCTCCATTAACAGAATGGATGTGTTTGAACTTGTCTCGTACAAAGGTCACATGGGTTCAAACTTTTGGTTTGACTTTGGATTCCATTTGGAAGGCGCGAAATAATTTTATATTCAATCAGAAATAAATTAACCCAATTCAGATTGTTTGTGAAATCAAAGGTAACGAGGTGCATAACATGTCTTTTGGTCGCTCCCTGAATCCTTGTTCTCTCTCTTCATCTCCACTTATGATACGTTGGAATCCTCCCCCTCCGGGTACTCTAAAACTCAACTGTGATAGGACAATAATGAATAACAGACTTGCGTCGTGTGGAGGGATTTTGAGAGATAGCTATGGATCATTTATATTGGCTTATGCAGGATTAATTGGTAGATGTTCTGTTGCGCAAGCAGAACTTTGGGCTATATATCATGGCTTAAGACTTATTAAGGACAAATTCATCTCTTCTCCTATAATAATAGAATCTGATTCATCTACAGTAGTTTCCTTTTTAAATGAAGGTTGTCCTCGGTCACATTCGTGCTACTCCTTGCTAAATCACATTGTCAGAATGTCAGGTGGCTTCCACAAGATTGATTGTTCTCATGTCCTTCGAGAGGATAATAAAGTTGATGATGGGTTTGCCAAGCTAGGATTCTCCCTCCCTGAAGGAGTGCATAGTTTTAGTTCTCCCCAAGTTGGGCACATTTTCTTTTACTTGCTGATAAGTCTGCAATTTTTTTCCCTCGTAGATATTAGTTTTTGTATTTTGAACTTTTAAGCCCCGTTATTAATAAAAATAAATAAATAATAACACAAGGATATTTAACCTTTATCAAATATATACTTATTTAAATTTTTAAGGTTAAACCTCCAACTACAAGTGAATTCAAGCTTTTACTACGTACACGTGATCATATTAATTCATAAATATTATTATAATAACAATAATCATAATAAATTTAAAAATAATACTTATTACTATATTAACTATTATTATTATTTGCTTTAAATTATACATATATATATATATATATATAGTTTAATACTATGTAGGTTATGAAACATATTTTTTTTATCATTATAAATAAGTAAACATAGTATAAGCAATTAATATATTATAATATTATTTATAAAAATCATTTGAATAAACTTGACATCCTTTTATATAACTAGAAACAAAAATTTAATTAAAGTCTTTACAAACAAAATTTAACATGTTAAAATAAATCAAAGAACACACAAACAACACTTATAAGATGTTAAAAAGAAGTAAAAATAATTAAATATTATATATTAATATTATCTAATATAAAATAAATAAATAAGATGAAGTTAAAATCACTTCACCAAATAATTATAATTATATTTATATTTTAAAATAATGTTAAATATCTCCTCTTCCTATCTTAAGAGTTTTAGCAATAAGTGTGGTAAAATAGATTCTTGCCTTGTCTCAAAATAAATCTTCAATAGAAATCTCCTGATGAAATTTCTAAACTTGTAAGTTTTCCTCACTTTTAATTGCGTAAAAGTGTGGTTCCTATTTATAGATACAAAATGCTTAACTTTTTAATATTTTTTGAAAGATTACATTAGTTTTGATTTAACAAAAATTCTTAAAAGTTTAGTTACATTATAACTGACTAATCCAATTTCAATAGATTCTTTTCATAATGACGGGCCTCCCCCCTTTCTATCAAATTTTTGTTTCAGATAAAAAAAAGTTATCTCTTCTGCGTAACTTCACTTCATAATTAATGATTCAATATTATATTATATATGATAACATAGGTAATAGTGATTCAGTGTAAAACATTTCTTGTAGATCAGTAGATGTTTTTGTTTTCATCCGTACATATTCTGAATCTTCCTAACCATAACTTATTCCAGCGTATATTTAATTCCTTCCATCCGTACATGATTTTCTTTACAACTATATATATTATTTATAGCATATTATCTATTTTATAAACTGTTTTATAATATATATAATAATAATAAATTACATATATTTATATTATATAAAACTGTTTTCATAATATATCTATATATATAATTAATTTTGAAATTCAAGAAAATACTAATATTATCCATAATATAATTAGGCATAATTTATATCAGTTTAATTTACTAAAACTAAAATCTTATTCGTGAAGAGAAAAATTAGCAATTGAAAATTTAGAAAGTTAGTGATGAAGAGTACATCATCATTAATATTTACTAGTTGAGTGCAAATTACATGGAATTACAATTGCCTCTTTTCTGTTACTTAAGTTCTTTGTATATCATAGGACAAAGTTATAATTCAAATGAATTTAAAGAAGTGTTTCAAATCTAAATTTTAAATGAATTTACATAGTTTGAAAATTTAATTTTGACATTTGTACATTCAAAATCATTTTGAAACCGAAGATGATAAATGAGAATGAATGATATTCACTTTACATTAAGCATTAAAATAAAGAGAAACTGATATAGGTTGAATTCTCATCTTGCATATGTTTTGTATCAAAGAAGCGGATCCCACATCGAAAAGTTAAGAAAAAGAAATAAGTAGTGGTTCTTATAAATAGAGTTGCAGAGTTAACTTCAAATGTTATAAAGGGTCAGTTGGCTAAATATGCCATGTCCTCTTTTGATAAGTGGATACTGTATGGCTATCAAGACATATGGCTGACAAAATTTCTGGAGCTCAAAAGGGTTGGCTTGCTTAGCCCACCCTACATATATTTTAATAGTTAATTTAAATTTAGATGTTTTTTTTTTCTAATTTGATTTTTTATCTTTGTAATTTGTTTTTTTTTTTAAATTTTTTCTAATTTAATTTTTATTTAATTTTTAATCTTTGTAACTTAGTTTTTTTTCTAAAGTCTCTTGTGACATTTTAATTCTCGACGATTTTGAGATGAGGGAGGGCGAACTTGTTCACAATGTTAGTTCGTTTAGTTTTGATTTGGCATTTAAATGTTCATTCAAGTTAAAGCTGGTTAATCGATAGTTTAGTTTTGATTTGGTATTTAAATGTTCATTCAAGTTAAAGCTGGTTAATCGATAGTTTTGATTTGGCATTTAAATGTTCATTCAAGTTAAAGCTGGTTAATCGATCGTTTAGTTTTGATTTGGCATTTAAATGTTCATTCAAGTTAAAGCAATATCCCTTTCTTCTCAATTTCTGCTTTACAAAATAGGAAATTACATTTAGAAAAACACTTATTCAAACATATTCTTATTGCTTATTGTTTGTTGAATATGATTGTCCATTATTTAATCAGTTAAGTTTGTTGAATATGATTGTCCATTATTTAATCAGTTAAGTTTGTTGAATATGATTGTCCATTATTTAATCAGTTAAGTTTGTTGAATATGATTGTCCATTATTTAATCAGTTAAGGTGTCTTGTTGAACATGATTATTCACGATTGCTTAGTCATTTAGAGCGAGTGCTATCGATTGCTTAGTCATTGAGACTGAGTGCTATTTGTAGAATTTTTTTACAGAAATAGAATTTCTTTTAAAAAAATTACTGAAAAAACATCTGTTACTGAAAAAGCATGCATGTGTTACACATTATTTACACATTTTTAAATGATTGGTAATTCTTTATTGTAGTTTATAGTCTCTAGTGTGTATTGTTAAGTCTATTCCATCTGGTAAATAATGTGTAACATATGCTTTTTCAGTAATTTTTATAAAAAAAATTCTATTTCTGAAAAAAATTCATCAGTGTAAGAAGACTTTTAAAGGTATGTGTTTTTTTAATATACTTTTTTTATAGAGTTATGTGTTTCTTTAATATACTTTTTTTATATAGAGATCATTACATAAAGTTATTGTTCATTTTTAACTTAAAAATTAATTAATTTGGATTTGCATTTTTAAATGTGTATTTTTGACATTTGTATTATGTGTATTTGTATTTGGTATTTTTGATTTTCACAATCTCTTGTTTGTTACTATTTTGTATGTGTAGTTTTGTCTTAAAAAATGCATTTTTTCGAATTTGTTTTTCAAGTGATTGGTACTTCTGAGTTGTAATAGTTGTTTATTTTTTTCCTAATTGCCTATTTTTGTCACTAGTGTAATTCTTTATTGTAGTTTATAGTCTCTAGTGTGTATTGTTAAGTCTATTCCATCTTAAACATATTGCATACAAATTTGGGCCAAGTCTATCAATTAGTGAAGGTTCAGCTACTGGTGAGGTGACTTGAGAGGTTGAGGAGTAATTCAAGGTTCAGTATCCATTCTTATTCCCAAGTAAGTAATTTTTAGGAAAAAAATTTCTATTTGTTGGGGAAAATTGTAACACTATGCTTTGGTAAGTGGTGAGGGTATCTAACCAAAGGTTTAGTTGATCGTGGGAGAAAAAGTTTATAAGTTTTCTATTTTAAACAAAGTTTGTAATCTCTTGTTCTTTAGAAACCATAGAGAGAAAGATCTAGAAAGAAAAACTTTAACTCTTCTTCCCTTCTTATTTTTAGGTTCTTTTGGAGTGTGAGATTTATAAATGGGAGTGTCGGATTTGAAGCTTAAGCTAAGAATTAGAAGGTTGAGGCGATGTGGAGCTTGGAAGCTCAAAGTTCTCCTTTCTTCTCCTTCTCTTTCTTGGTTGCTTAGAGATTGAGGAAAGGGAAGCTAGACTTGATTCTTCCTAGTTGTTGAGTTGTACATGCCTAGGATTTCTTTGCATTCTTGGTTGTTTGACAAAATCTAAGGTGGGAATTGATGTGTGTGGACTCTTGGTGTTTTGAGTTCAAGAAGGTGGAATTGGGTGATTCACTTAATTGGTGGTTGCATGTGGTTTTTTATGACAAAACTGAGTTGTGTGTGTTGTAAATGTATGGTATGATGCTTTACATGCTTGGATTGTTTGTATTTCAGGTCTTGGAGGCAATTTTCATGATCTACAAGTGTAGATTTCTAATACGATGCTGAGCGTGCCTTCGTGATGCCAGACACAGTTCCAACTAGAGAACCCTATCTCAATAATGTTAGGTGTAGGATCGTGACGTCAAACGTGAGGAGAGAGACTCATCTCGGGTTGGGATGACGCTAGACGTCGTTTGATTAACTTCAAGCGTGAGAATAGGGGGAAGTCTCTGAATCGATGACGCTAGACACCACTGAGGTGATGTCGGGCGTGAGTTAGGCTAATACTCTCTGCCTGATATGAGGTTAGGTGTGGATTTTTCCATGTTAGGAACAAGGTCATAAGAGATCTCCACCTCGATCATGTTGGGCGTAGTTTGGATGGTGTTAGGTGTGAGCGAGGCAAAGAGCTCCCTACCTTGATGGCATTGGGCATGAGGTAAGTTGCGTTAGGCATATATAGGATGCTTGGATGTTTGGTTTGTTTTGGTGATGTTGTATGATGAACATGAAAAAATGTTTTAAGTTCTATTGCATGTTGTATGACATATGATGATTGTTCTGCATATTTTGATTGGATATGACATGTGTAGATGTTTGTATGGTGTTGGATGATGGTGAATCTATGTGTTGTACATATGTATGATTTTGGAGAGCATTGATATGCCATGTATGGATGATATTATTGTTGATCTCTATATGCATTGATTGGATATAATGTATATAATTGATGTATGGTGAAGTGTGGATGTTGAGAATGAGGTATGACATTAAGACATGTTGGTTAACTTAAACTTGAGGAAAGGAGAATGTTTTGAAACCTAAAGATCCTACATAGGGAATCTTGGAGTGGTGCTCAACTACTGTTGGAAAACCTTCCTTGAGTAGGTGTCTTTCTTGGAGTGGGTTTTTGAGGTGTGTTGGGTCTTTTTTAGGTCTTTAGTTAGTGGTTGAGTAAGGTAAGAGGTTGAGAGCTATAACCCTTAACCAAATACTTAAAAAGGTTGCATGGCCCTTTAAGGATGGTCAGTGAGACTTGGTAATGCATGCCAAGTTCGTGGTACACCTATACCTAAGTGTACTACACTTAATGGTGGAATCAAACTTTCCTAGTGTAAGTAACAAGACCCAAGAAGCCAGAGGAGGAATTGGTATCCCCCAGAGGAGGAATTGGTATCCCATTTGACTGTGATCAAATCGATGCTTCGAGTGTGAGAACGATTGCATTTGTTCGGTAGGATAGAGTCACTTAAACTACTCATGTTATAGGAGATCTTCGTAAGTGAATGCATGACAATGCATTGGTTAATATTTTTTGCATATGATGGGTGTCGAGGTATATTCATATGCATTTTTGATGTCTTGTGTAACATGGTTTGGATGAGAAAATGGTTTCTTGGAGTGTTGTAGCTTTCATATATGGTTGTGGTGTGTCATTGTATAATTGTTTTATATATGTGTATGTTTTCAAACTTTAGCTTATCCTTCTGTTTTCATGGTGGTTTGGATTGGGACGTTGTATAGGAGTAGATCAAGGCTGAACTTGAAGAGTTGTTACTGATAGATGGTGTGATCTTTTGTTAATGGCAGTGTTACTCTGTATAGCTTGTATAGGTGTGCTTGACTAGCACTAGGGCATAGGATTATTTGGGATTACTGTACATACACATATAACTTGTTTATATCAGTTCAGGTGTTTTACATTATACTCATGTTATATGTATATATGTATGGGGTGTTCCTTCCTTTAATCATTTATGTCCTAGTAATCTAGTTCCGCTATTAGTGGAGTGATTCCATTCAATGTAACGATCATGGCAAATCGTTACATAAATTGCTTTTAATTTTGTATTACTAAGGTCATAATTTACATCACTAAAGTTGGTTTAGTGATAAGAGAGTTAAAATAATATGTATAAGGTTTTAGATTCAAATCATGTAATAATTATTACTAATGTTAAATAAAATTAGTTTACATGAAAAAAAAATAATTTTAATTATAAACTATTGTTGATATGCATTAAATTTATACCCTCCTTTATAATTTTTATCTAGTTCCGACCCTATTTGATCTTTATCACTAATTTGGTCTAAAGGTAAAAAACTTATATGTGAGTCAAATTCAAAGTCTACAATTAACTAAAATAGTTAAATTACAAAGCAAGTTGGTTAATTATCAAGATAATCATTTTCTTCGGAACATGTGACATGAAATTGACAACAAAGATGAGACTGATAAGGACTTGGTATGTAACCATACATGTTGCAAAGATCATGATAATCGATAGCGACCTTAAAGGGAAGTAGTTTATTTAAAAAATAAATAAATCATTTATTATTATTATTATTATATAGAAAGATGGGATACACTTATTTTATGAATAAGACTACTTGAACTTAATTTGTTAAATAACTTATGTTCTATATCAAATTTTAATGATTCAACCATTGAATTAAAAGTTCTAGATATATAGATCAAATAAAGTTGTAATTTTTTTTTACAATTATTTGATATTTTATTTCATTAATTTAAATTAATGTATAAAATATTTTTATAATTATCTATCAGTTTGAATTAATGAAATGGACTATCAAATAATTTTCTAATTTTTTAAAAAAAATTGACTTGATCTATACATTAAGAACTTTTAATTCAATGGTTGAATTATTAAAACTTGATGTAGAATGAGTTGTTTAGTACAATAAGTCTTAGTATACTTATTCTAGGAATAAATGGATTCCTCCTCATATATATATATATATATATATATATATATATATATATATTATATTACATAAAAAAAAAAGGAAAAATACTTATTAAGAATGGAAAATGTACTAAAATGTAGTAAATAAACTAATCAATATAAGACAAAAATTAATAACAAATGAGAAATTAAGGACAATGGGATCATAATATAAATTTAGAGAGACATAAAACTCATAACTCAAAATACATATATGTATTATCCTTAAAGTTAGGAATACAAATGCAACTCCTCAAATATACGTAGATCTGCCAGTGATAATAATATTTTAACATCTCTATCACGTGAAAAATGTAAATCACTTTCTAAAAAAAAATCCCCCGAGAAGAAAGAAAAACCTCATTCAATTGTTAGGGAAAATAGGAACGAAAAACACATTGTTTTCTCTCTTTTCCCTTCTAATAAGTTAACTATCCTTGAAAGATCATATATTTATCATCTCGAGGGCTGGATCTTTCTGTCTTTATTCTTTAAGAGAAAGGGAACTTGAAATATCACCTGTATAAATATGTTCGCGTTAACTGTTAATAGGTAATTGAATCCAAAACTTCATAATCATAGTTACGTAGTCATTAGACATGATAGACACTTGCACAGTACTCAAGTATTATCCAAATAGTCCATAAACTAAATTACAAATTATGACTGCCCCAATCAATGTATCCACACTCAAATTTAATATTCTTTTGTATAATCATCCAAATAATACACCAATTACCTATCTTTACAAATCTTATTATCACCCTATCCAAAAGAACACACCAACTAGTAATACACATCTATAGTTTGCTTCAATATAGCATCCAACTGTGACATAATAAATTACATTTTCTTGTATCAAATCTCACTAGCTATTATTAAACCTTAGTCAGCTTTCTAAAATGGGGACATGTTCACCACACAACACCATCTGAAAGTCCACACTCCAATGGTTTAAGCATCAAATTTATGATGACAACTCAAAGAAAAAAAAAATCAGTTGACCATATGTCATTGGTTTGGTTTGAGAAATTAACAATGTCATTTTCAAAAATTAATTCAGGATAACTAAACTTACTAAAAGTTAGAGAAAAATTGAATATATATATATATATATATATATATA